ATTTTAGTGTCTTTGATGGAAAAAAAAGGCGATGAAGGTGGAGCTCCAGTCCAGCTGTGGACAGGTGGACCGAGTCGGACCGAGTCACAGCTTGAGGGAGGAGCTCTGTCGGAGACAGAGTGAGGACTTTGATGAGGAAGCAGGTGATTCACTATTTCGATTATAAGAGGGAAGAGTAGAAGATCGAGCACCCAGCGGACTCTACAGGGGAAATCTTCATCCCGTTACCGGTCTGACGGTGCAGCGCTAACTGGATGCTAACTACACCGAACAGCTGATGAAAGCACATAAACAACGGGAGGTGTCGAACTTTTTATTCAGCGGGTGGATCCACAACCTCGGTACCAAACAGCTCTACGATGATTATCGTTTGTTTTTTTTGCCAGGGTGAGTGTTTTTTCTGGGTTTAAAGTCCAGATGAGGTCCACATTAAACTACCAGTAACTTAATCCTCACTACTAAATAAACGATCATTATAAACATAAACTCTAAAACAAGTTACCAACTAATACCTCTGATGTAGTGGCCGATGCCTGCAGGCACCAACGGCATTCTGCTCCTCCCGACCACAGACGGTTTAAAATCCACTTTTTACGTTGTTGTTCTGTGAGCTTTCTACGTTTTTCATCCTTGTGTGATAATCAGTGTTATCATATGTTGTCATAGGGTTGGCAGAATCGTGTGGAATTATTCCTCAGATAAACTTTTGCTGGTTATTAGTTGGCACCTGGTGATGTAAGGCGTGTGTGGTACCAACAGCCTCAGCAAATCTTTAGGTTCTGTCGAAAACTCGTTWAWCTTCACCATACGAGTCATGTCTGACATATTTGTGAACAAATTCTTGTTATAAATCTTGAAATAGGACCTAAATCCATACAATATAAACTCTACAGTAGTTTCCTCCATAGACATTTTACCCMCTGCCCTACAGCGGAGATCGCTCCGCCTTCGAAACCACGTGACTGAAACCCAGCTATTGCCATTGCATGTGGTTCTTTAATTATCCACRTCATCATTTACCCAGAATTCTTTGCGTGTAAATAAAATGGCTCTGTCCGTGTTAAAATATATTTTTAAGAATTTACAAAACTAAACAGACAGTATTTTACTGTCTTTATTTTACAGTTAAAATAAAAGTTTATCAAATAAAGTGTAATGCTACAACTAATCAGCGATCCCTTTAACACATTGTTTTATCTCCTAAAATGTAAAGTTTACTTTCTCCTTTTCATGTTGACCAAGGACATGAATTCTACAAAAACAGAAATAATCCCTGCCCTCTAACTACAAGCGGTCTGTAAACTACTCACCTGGGTGAAGGGTGTAGCAGGTAACACTGGTCCCCTGCAGCCTCTTGGCCAGCTCATGGTTGAAGAGAACGTTGCACAGCTTGCTGTCACAGTAAACTTGGAAAACCCGATAGGATGATGTCCCAAACCCCAGAGTTTTGTGGGAGTTCAGGCAGTCAAAGTCGATTTTTCCAAAGTTGTGAGCCATGGACGACACATTTACAATCCTGCTGGGTCCACACTCCTTCAGTCGATCCAACAACAGGTTGGTTAACAGGAAGTGACCAAGATGGTTGACACCAAACATGAGTCCAAACCCATCTTCTGTTTGACCCTGCATGCATATACCTGCAACAGAACACAGAGGCCTTTAACCCTTYCCCTGTCATCAACATGGCTGTAGAAGTCAGAATAATGGGACATTGTGTTAAATGTTACAAAAAAGAATGCAATGATTTATAAATCTAATTAACTCAATTTATTTACGCATAATTTGGCAGCACAGTGGCTCAGTTGGTAGAGCTGATGCCTTTCAACAAGAAAGTTGCTGGATCAAATACTGGCCCGAGACCTTTCTGGGTAGAGTTTTCATGTTCTCTCCGTGCATGCTTGGGTTTTCTCCAGGTACWMCGGCTTCCTCCCACAGACCAAAAACATGACTGTTAGGTTAATTAACTCTAAATTGTCCCTAGGTGTGAGTGAGAGAGTGAATGGTTGTTTGTCTCATTTGTCTCTGTGTGTCTCTGTGATGGACTGGAGACCAGTCCAGGGTGTACCCTGCGCCTCACACAGTGACTGCTGGATATGGGCACCAATGACCCTGAAAGGAAGAAGCGGGTATAGATAATGGATGTACGAAACATAATTAAAAATAGGGCTTCACAATGCTTTGCAATTTAATTGTTATTGCAATATTTATGAGAGCATTGTAAATACTGGCRGCATAAGGGCTCARTTGGTAGAGCTGTTGCCTCTCAGCAAGAAGGTTGCTGGATCAAATCCTGGCCCCAGACGTTTCTGGGTAGAGTTTACATGTTCTCTCCATGCATGTGTGCTGACTGAGAACCAACACACAGAAAGGGTGAGGCTGAAAAAAAAACATGTTGTATAAACAGGGTTCCCCCAGATCCTTAAAAAGTCTTAAAAGGCCTTGAATTCATCAATCCAGAATTAAGGCCTTAATTATCCTTAAAGGTCTTAAATCAATATTCAGAGGTCCTAAAAATGTTAACACATTGTAAGCAGGATGTCTGTAGTTTGTATCAAATATTAAAATAATTGGTAACATTAATTTATTATTTTTTTAATATTACCATTCAGATGTTCCCTTTTGACACCAYTTCCTGTTATTTCACATGCAAATATCTCAACAACTGTCCATCTGAGAAATGTGAAATTGTTTTCTAATATGTTAATGTTGTCTTTTCAAAAATATATTCATATTTCTTACAAAAATGTTATGCCACAGGCACTTTAAGGTTTCATCTACAGCAAGCTGGGGTTGAGAACCCACTGTGGGTCTTAAAACTCCAAATTTTGGGTTGTTAGAGAATTTCCAGAAATTAAATTAAGTTTAAAACTGACTGCTAAGAATGTTTTTTGCTATATTTGACAAAATAGTAAAAACAATTTGGTTTTATAATTCAACCAAAAATACTTTGATTCATGAGTTTCTGCCACAGTTTTTATTTTTTGTCATTTGTGTTTATTATGAAATTGGTCTTAAATTTGATTTCATTTGGCATTAAAAAGTCTTTAAAAGTCTTAAATATAACTTGCCTTAAACTGTAGAAACTCTGATAAAGTACCTCAAAGTGATACTTGAATAAAAGTACAAGTATCTTGCCATGAATTTGCTTTGGTAAAAGTTCACATCTCCCCTAAGTATTTGTGCGGTGGGCGGGGTACTCTTGTCTGCAGCACATGCTGTAAGGTATTGCACAATCCATTGTCCAGCTCATCCTTGGAGCAGGAAGTGGGAAAATTCAGTGATTTAAAATAAAAATATATACAGTATAATGAACATTGTTTAGGTTAAATGAGCAAGTGATTCATAGTACAAAGCACTTGTTTTATTGTAGGTTTTGTCTTTCTTTCTTTCCATGACAGGGCATATAGCTTTCTTTTGATAGACAACACAGACTGAAAAAAGGGGAGGGGCCACACATTTCAATCATAATAGTGTAAATATAGTCAAACAGTAGATTGTTTTAATGTTCAGTTGTTGAGTTGTGCTTCTTGAAGTGAAAAAGTGTAAATTATATTTTTTTCTTCAAAAAAGGTTCAGATCTTCTCCGATGTTTGAACAGTGAAATTTGGTTTAATGTTTGAATCTCTTAAATGTTCTTCTATTGGTGCAATTTAGAAATACCTTGTAACCTAACCAGTTTTTATATTTGTACTGGCATTGTATGCTTTTAAATTTGTGGTGTGTGCCTTACTATGTGTGTCTATGGTGTTACTTTACATAAACGTAACAAATTATGACTAAATTAGTGTTTGGTAGATTATTTCTTTATAACAATACTTCTTGGCAGTAAATCTTGTAGCAGCACCTGGGTATCGCTCAAAACACTGCAGAGAAAACTTGGAAAATTCTTTATGTGTGCAACCCACTCTACTGCTCATCCCACAAATGCATGTTCCTTACAAATGTGGCCCAATTTAGAAGGTAAATTAAGATTTATTGACACTGTAAAATGTCTTTGTATATTAATATTCAAAAACGTTTTGAGTGTCACAGTGCATAATAATCTGTTAGATTTTAGAGCAGAACATGTGCAACTCTGGTGATGGGAGGTGGGGTGAGGTGGGTTTGGGGGGGACGCCGGAGAATTTGTGGGCACCAAACAGGCTAGGACAGGGGTGTCAAACTCATTTTCACTGAGGGCCACATGAGAGTTATGGTGGCCCTCGAAGGGCCACTTGTAATGAACTTTGACGAAACTCCTCCAAATCATGACCGAAAAACGAGGTCCCGGATACAAGCGGCCGAAATCGGTTTCCTCCGCAGGGTGGCTGGGCTCTCCCTTAGAGATAGGGTGAGAAGCTCGGCCATCCG